TCCAATAAGCTAAGAATTTTTATATTAGGTGCAGGTAAAATGATCATTTTCTTAAAATGATGAAATTCAGAACGTGCAAAAATGCAAGAGAAACAATGGAGTAACTATTAAAAGTTTCATCAGATGGCTGAGAAAACTGTCACTATACAGAAGTTAAGAGCTTTCATATATAGCAACAATAACCAGTTAGAAGGTTAAAGATCAAATATCATTTATAACATGAATAAAATAAAATATTCTGTTTGGAAACAAAGTCAAAAGATTAATGACAAAATGGACAGTCTTTGCAAATCATAATAAGTAAAAGGCTTATTTCTCTAAAATATGAAGAGCTCCTAAAAACCAATAACAAAAAGATTAAGAGTCTAAAAAAAAAAACTAGTAAAAAAAACAGGTCATAGAAATGAAAATACAAATGGCTAGGTTGATTGGGCTCACTTTGTATCAGCAGTTCTCAACCTGTGGGTCACAACCCCTTTGGGGGTTGAACGCCCCTTTCACAGGGATCGCCTAAGACCATTGGAAAACACATATATAATTACATATTGTTTTTGTAATTAATCACTATGCTTTAATTATGTTCAATTTGTAACAATGAAAATACATCCCGCAGATCAGATATTTACGTTACGATTCATAACAGTAGCAAAATTACAGTTATGAAGTAGCAACGAAAATAATTTTATGGTTGGGGGTCACCACAACATGAGGAACTGTATTAAAGGGTCGTGGCATTAGGAAGGTTGAGAACCACTGCTTTAAACTAATGACAACACACTTCAAGTGGGCTCCTAATGCTGCCCACTAATCACACTGCTTCTTATTTCAATTATTCTCATTTTTTTCCTAGAGGAAAACATTACCTTCTCTCCCATTCTCATTCTGTACTATTACTCACCAAGTCTGAGCCATCCCATCTCTCACCTGGATTATTCTAATAGCTCCTACCTGGTATCTGCAGCTATTCAACTATAGGAATCATCAATAAGCTGAAGGGAAAAAAACCTTGTATATATCCATGATTATTTATCCAAAATAACAATATTTATTCAAATATCAATAGAATATGTATTCAAAAAGTAAATATTTAACTGAGCACCTACTATTACTGAGCATTGTTCATGTTTGGGGCATGGCAGAAAACAAACAAGCAAAAAAACAAAGTCTGTGCACTCACAAAACATATTCCAGATAGGGAGACTGACACCCATATAAATATATGTGTCAGATGATGAATGTCATAGAAGAAAAATCAAGCAAGGAGAAAGCAACTGTAACCACTTAATGTTTTTCTAAGGGCAGTCAAAGAAGCTCTCCCAAACAAGATGACATTTGCACAGAGTCCTGTGAAACTTAGGGACAGAGCCTTGCAGATATCAAAGTAGAGAACAAAGTCAAGCACTAAAGAAAGTAAATTCTAGGCATTAATAATGCAATTATAGTGCTTAAAAATCTTCAAAAATGTGATGGGCCTGAAAAATCTCTCCTTTATCACCTATGATAAAAATAAAAATTCAAAAGTAGTTCACACCTATTTCAGGTATGAGCTAAGTTGGCTGTTGTTAGTACATGTGAAAATGATGAACTTCTGTCCACAACAGAGAGGCCTAAACACTGAGTATTCACACCATGTTTAGTTTAAAAATAAATACAAACAACCTTCTTCCCTTCAATGACTCTCTAAATTTTGGCTGTTTTTACTGAAAAACATCCTTTTAATTTTATCCTGAAAACAACATGGAGAATGACTTTCTTTCAAAACAAGTTCTCTCTTGAAGAGAAACACATGTTCAAAGAACAAACAACATTCCAGTATCTGACTTAAGGCTACTTAATTTTGGCAGGATGATGTCATACTTAGGCTACTAAACATATTCCTGTACATGGTTCTCAACCTTCTGGCCCTTTAAATACAGCTCCTAATGTTGTGTCCCAACCATAAAATTATTTTCGTTGCTATTTCATAACTGTAATGTTGCTACTGTTATGAATCGTAATGTAAATATCTGATATGCAGGATGGTCTTAGGCGACCCCTGTGAAAGGGTCGTTCGACCGCCAAAGGGATTGTGACCCACAGATTGAGAACCGCTGCCTGTACATACTATTTCTTCTGCAATTCTATAAGTCAGGCCTATTCATGGAAGCAGACCCATCATTTTATGCAATTAGAGAACAATAAAGAGAACATGTTTGAAGTACAAATACATTCCCAGTAATAAATAATTTCTAAGGGAATTTTCTATCCCATCATACATCTTGAG